AAAGATGTAAGTGGTTTCAAAATGAACATACAAACATAAAAATGTAAAGAATTGATCTCAGAATGAGCTGTTCTCACTTTGTCTTACCCTTTCACACATGACGTCCTCAGTGCCTGACACAAACAGCACAGGTATTTGTTTAGGCAGCGCCAAGAGATCTTCACTCCGCTGTTGATGAGCATGTGTCTGTCCTGGAGGATGCAGAGGAAAAGACAGACAGATGACTCCGTGGATACCATCCTCAGTCTCATCACTCAGCTGCCTTGCTAAAGCTGCAGCAGCACGACTCCCCATCGACCTGCCTGTGGTGGACACGTGCAAGTCAAAGCAAGTTTATTAATTACACATGCACAGGGAAACACAAAATTACACACAATTTAAAAATGTTATTGTATATACTAAATATATATCTTACCTCCAATGAAAACGTGGTCTATATGAAACTTCTGCAGTGATTTCAAGAATTCCTATGTAGAGACAAAGTAAAGACGTACAAACAGCTGCTAGTCTTTTCTTCTCTTCATCTCTTTTCAGATGTCTTACCCACACAGCCTGGTAAACCTTCACTCTGTAACTTAAGTTCAAACTTTTGCACGTGAAACGGAGGCAGATGAAACCATTGGAAGCCAACGCATGAGCCAGGGAAACGAGGTGTGTGAAGTTCATGTCTCCGCCTGCACCATGTGTCAGAATGACGGCTGAGTGACGGTCCGTCTGTGCGGCAGCAGGAACACACAACACAGCATCCACACGTTTGTTCCCGAACGGCACCTTCACTGTGTCCTGGGAAGGAAACAGCAGCCGCGGGTATATGTTACACACAGATATGTACAATGACAACGTTTCAACACTACAGTATTCACCTCGACAAACCTGTCCATCCGTCCAGTGATCCGTAGTCCCAGATCTCGCGAGGGATCTGAACAACCAAATTAAAATAATTCACCTTTTGATAACGTCTCTTCTACCCAGTGTTTGTTATAAATATTCTCATTTTACCAACTTTGTCCCTCACGTTGTCAACATCAGTTAATTTCCCCCTGATCTTTTTGAGTTTGGCGGCGTTTCCTGTTTTCACAAACACGTAATATCCGTCTCCACGAGTGACCGATGAGACGACCAATGAACCAATGAAGTTGATATCCTTAAGCCAATCAAGGCCAGAAGGGGCGGGTTATGTTTGATTCCGCCACGGAAGCTGCGAGTGGACAAACTATGTATTTCCGTTGACTACACAGGGACCCGGGAAACAAAACAAAAACAAGTAATACCACGTTCTCAACAAGACAAGTAAACTTTGAAAACATTTACAGACACAAACCTTACGTTACTCTGCCGGCTCCTTACCAGTCGGTGACGTCTGAAACAATCCATTCGTACTACGAGCGACACCTGGCGGTGTGGAGTAATAAATACAAACCAGTCAAAAAAAAAAAAAAAGATAATTAGGCAAGTAATCTTGTTTTTATGTAGGATGTACAGCTACAATATACGAATCATTCTCCATTTCCAGTTTGCTTAGTATGTACATCATAATTATTGGTAATTAAGTTTGTTTGATTTTTATTGCGGTCACTGCAGTTTCTTCGACCCTTTTGATTGTTTGATTTTTATTGGGGTCACTGCAGTTTCTTCGACCCTTTTGTGGCTGGCAGTTGGGGCATTATTGTCCTGCTGACCGCTCAACATATTAAAACACATTTAACAAATTACAGAAAACTATTTTTATTTAAAAATGGAACAGGGTAATATGTATTTCACCCACACACAACAATACACAATCCAGGAGTAGAAAATTCTTATTCAATAAATGAGATATAAAAAAAACCTTTAGATCAGTTAGAGTTCATCCTTTGCCTGAAAAACAAAAAGTAAGACTGATGTTAGCATGAAGGGAATCATGACCTGTGAAGCAGTTTGACCAGTGTCTGAATCTATACTGGTTGATTTCATAATATTAAGCTGAAATCTGTGGAAATGCACATGTAAATGTACGTACCCTTTTTCTCAGGCAGGTACATGGAAACAGGTCATCGGTCGGTTGCTCTACCAGCTCCATGTCCTCACGTACGGCAGGTTTAGTGATCTGGAGTTTGGCATACTCCTGAGAAGAACAAGAATTATACACACAAAAAAATACACAGGAATATTTCATGTCCAGCCACATTCCTATAGTAGGTAATACTAATAAAATGAGTCAAAAATTCTCAGAACGTTTTGACTTAATATCAGGTGAATTACTCTGCAACAGTGGGAGTGTTACCTGAAATAGTTTGTAGTAGTAACAAAATACGCCGTCTCCTGTAAGACGACTGCGTGCAAACTGCTGACCAGTCAGTGCAATCTTCTTGGCCTGAAACACAGACAGATCCAAAGTTCAGGCTCATAAGTAACTCGTTGTTGAAGCCGTTCCGAACCTCAGTTAAAATAACGGTCGTCACCTCCTCATCATGATCGCGTGCCCACTGGATCTTGTCCAGCAGGTCTCCCAGGTCCGCTCGTACCGGGATGTAGTGCTCCCACGGTCGGAGCTCGCCGTAGAAATGTTCATAGTATCCGGAATCCTGCTTGAAGACAACACTGTCTCCGGCCAACAGGTAAGGAAGTCTGTACGCTGCCACTGTGCCGTCAATGTTTATTTGATACTTGTACTGGTGGTGATCACAGAAGACAGACAAATGATTAGACAAACACACACACACGTGACGTTCTCCGTCTCCGTCGTAATCAGAACAAAGTCCTCACCTTGAAAAAATCAAAGAAAGAGACGTGTTTGACCAACGGTCCGTAGAGACTCTCGTCGTGTTTGAAAAAGAAGAAGTTGGTGAATGCTGCGTCTATCATGTCAGGATGAGCCCGGGAAAGTTTGACCAACTCCAGTCGCTCCTGCCGACTGTCTCTCCCTCTCCAAAATGCCGTGGCATTCTTGTCTGGCCACGGTGGCCAGGAGTTGGCCTGAACCGACATCATGTCCAGACTGACTCTGTTGAATGGATGGACACAAGGACACAACAGTGCCATCTACTGGTGAACAATAGATTTAGTAAGAACTCGTAAAGAAGTTTGAATTTTCACAAAATTTCACAAAAAGAGCAAAAATAGAAAATGAAGATGATGACTTTTGTTGATGAATTAATGAATTTTAACTGAAATCAAGACACAGAAAATTGTCAGAGACAAAGTCCAGTCAGAGCTGATTTCCTCATGTGAACTGGTGGGACATGTGATTAGGATGAGGACCAACCTGCCCATGGTCTCCAGGACAGATTCTGTCAGGTCATAGGTCGGCATGACGATATCTCTGGTGTTGTTGGATCCACACCAAGAGAAGATGGGATGGATATTATCAGTGGGTTTTCTCTTCTCCAGAGGCCAGTCACCCAGATTAACAAAAAACTCAATGTCAGGGAGCCACACCTGGACAGACAACACAACAGAGGGTTAGGTCTGAACTTTGACATAATAATGCACAAAACACACACACAGAGAGAGAGAGAGAGAGAGAGAGAGAGAGAGAGAAATACATAGATATATTATAATCTTCAGTTTCTGAGGAAGACCGTACCTTCCTGGTGAGGGACAGCAGAATTGCATCCATGAAGATTCGGAACCCCACGTGTTCTCCAAAGGTTCTAACGTAGATCTTAAGGAAATAGAAACTGTAAGAATGTTAAATGCATCACAAGAGTGCAGCAAATGACCTTCATACAAAACGACGGCACAAGGAAACGACAGGCTTCTTAATAACTGCCTGTATGTTATGACGTCAACATGTTGGCACAGAATTACAACTGATCAAAAGTAAAAGTAAAAGTCGTCCATATTGTCACTGGCTCCTCCCACATTTCCCATGACCTACACTGGAACAGTTTTAGGTATCCTGTGTTCACTCAGACTCAGACTTAACTCCTTTAAACTGCTTTTCATTCACAATGAGCTCAACACAAATATAATAAAAAGTCTGCACAGACGGATGGACAAACTGAGAACGACACTGTATTGGACCATCAGTAACAAACATAACAAAAACCCAAAGACTTTAACATAAAACCGTACACTGATGGGTAACAGTACTCTGATCCTACATTCTCAGAGGACTGTAAACGTGGTCACAACTGTATAACAACTGATGCCACCAAGTTCCCAGGAAATGCTAGCTCTGTGCGAACTGGACTTGAGGCGTTGAAGTGTCACAGCAACCTGGAGTGACGTCTGCACACCTGAACACCTGGCTTTACTCTCTGTTGTTCCAGAGGCGTGTCACACGGCCTCAGGCTCTTCAGGAAAAACTTTACAATATTATACAGCCGCCATCCATTATCACTAGTATTTGGCTGTTAAAGTTCAGACAAACAGAGGGCTGTTCTCATTCTTTGGTTGTAAGACTGCCTGTGGACTCAGCCTGAAGTTCTACTTTAGCTGCAACACTAGAATATTACAAATGTGCTTAATTAGCACAAGCTGGGGAGGGGAGAATTCACATGCTAAGATAATAGTTGAGTAAATAAACAGAAGGGGGCGCTGGTGTAGCTGTCGTTTCAGGTGTAGTTTACCTTGTTATCTTTGACGGTGTAATGGCAGAGGCTTTGTCTTTGACCAAATCGCTGTGGGATCTCCTGGGCGTTACGATCAGGGTCAACGTTGGCAAAATGAGACAAATCACTTTTAATCTGAGGGAAAGACTGAGGGCAGTGCATGTGAGCCTCCCACACAGGAGCGCTGGGCTGAGGGCAGTTACAGCCCTCATGGTAGACCGGACCTACGGAGGACGGACACAGGAGAGTCAACGAGAGTCTGCTGTTGTCTGAGACAAAACTCTTCAACTGGACTGTTCATTGACCTTTCAGGATGTATGGTGACTTGGAGACATGTTTGTTCTCGTGTAAGATATGAATGTGGAGGCTTGGGTACGTGGCATACATTCTGTATCGAACCAGGAAGGAGCCATCGTGACGGTCCAGAACCTGGGTCCAAATCCTGGTAAACTGCTCCCCGGGAGAAACGATCTTCACTTCGAAGGTGTGTTCACCTGGTGATGCTGTTAAACTGTCAGTGGGAACAAAGTAAATACAACGGGAAAACATGTCACACACAAACACAATCACACTCAGTCACTGTTAGAAAGATCCTAATGTAGCCACACACAGGAACTGTCCATTAGCATGTAAACAAACTGGTTTACAAAATAATTTACTGAAGGAAGACACACCATAATCCTCCTTTTAAAATGGTAAGAAGATTAGGTTTTTCTGACACAATTTCATCTTTACTCGCTCTCGTCACGTGTTTCTTTTGTGTCGACAGACAATAATATCGTGGTATTGTTGTTTTTTCCACGGCGGGACGGAGGAACTGATACCAATCCAAAAGACCAACGCCAAGTGCGAAAGTGACACCAGGTGAGACACTGCACAGCGACATACTTTCATTGGACCCAGGGGAGCTTTTGGATTAAAGGGGTCATTCCAGGTTTTCTTACAGCGTTCCAACCTTTCATGTCTGAAACTCTGTTTTTGAATAGTTTAACGTTTCAGCTCTCGTACTACACCACGTGTGGTTAAAAGACTAGCTGGTGTCTGTTGTTCTTCCAGAGCTGTGTCAACACAGTCCACCAAACAGGAGGAGGTCAGGCTGTCCTTTGAAAGGAGACAAAATATTGGTCTCACCTTTTAAAATATTTTTTAAATAATATTTTTAAACATGAAATTATTTAATATTTTTTAGATATAAAATTAATTAATACATTTTTTAATTAAATTTACAGCCTTTAAAAGTTTCATTTTACAACTTCTAACAGGGTTAGAGATAACATATGAGCAACTTTAACTTCACTTTCATTTACAAATCACATCTGACAGTTGTTGTGTTATTATATTAAAGATGCAGATCGAGCCTCAGGACAAATGGTTATAAAAACTGACAGGTTCCCTAGCAACTTGGAGACGTTGTCCATTTGTATGTACAACCAACAGAACAAAACAGCAGTGCAGTTCAATAGTGTTTTAAAAATGGACATCAGTGCCAGAACTGTTATTAGAAGGTTGTATCTGTAGATGTCAATTCAAAATGACTGTATTTATCACAGTTATCTCTGTCTGGGCGTTTGGTTTGTATCAATTTACAACGCTGAGCTGCTGACGTGAACTTTTACCAGAAGTTACTGAAAAATATTACCTGCAATACATAGAAAATATATTTATAATATGGACAGAATATATCATTTTCTTTGCAGTACAGGATGTTGTCGTATGCAGTGGAAAACAGTACTTTTGGTGTACGTTTAATTTACTGGTATTTCTAACGCTGTGTTCGACTCAAAGGCCGAAAAAACTCACTTTTTATCCGCGCTGTCCACGGCTTGTATGTAGAAAAAACGCGCTGGAAGAACAACGTTGACCTCGAGTCCAGGTCCCCACACCAAAGTCTTCGAAGCACTCAGAAACGGAGCCGCCTGAGCCCCGGGCTGAGGAGGGGTGAACACAGGCAGGCTGCAGCACAGCACCAACCGCCACAGGAGCCGGGGAGACATGCCCGTCTGGTGAGGGCTGGGCTATCACTTCAACCGGCGTTTCTCCACTTCTCACAGAGACTAACTGTCTACACTAAACACCGTCGCTACTTTACCATAGTTGGCTTTGTTTCCCGCTGAATTCACAGTACCCAGTGGTGGCGCTACAGGAATTTACGGAGTCATTAATACTGCGTTGAAGTTGTGGGGAGACTTAGCGTTAGCTACGTCCACATATTTATACAATTCAGTAGCCGAGCAGGGTTGCCAAATCCCTCTGTAGAAACAAGTAATCTTGTTCGTAAACACAAAACGAAAAAGGCAAATAATGGACGAAGAGCGACTTATTTTTTAACGTTTCAATACACAGAATACAAAATAGTTTTAGTTATCTTTTTAAATTACTTTCAATGAATTCTACCTTCATGGTGACTTTTATTTCACAGTTTAGTGTCAAAACGAAAATACGAATTTGTCACCAAGGGAGAAATAAATCTTTTAAATCTGCTTGTAATTGCCCAACATGGCAACCCCGGTGTCTTAATAAATGTGGGCAGACCGAAATACAGTATCTAGCAATGTGATTGGTCGGTTCCCATCTGTTCTTAGACCTTATTGGTGCAATGAGAGAGTGGACGATGATTGCATGTAAAGAAGGAAGGAGTATTTATTTATTATAATTTATTTATTAGAATCTCATGCATACATTAGTATTTACCAAACCAGTGTAAGCATGAGAAGTAATTTAAATTTCAGTTGTATTTAAGTTGTTTCTGTTCGGTGGCGTGGGGTTCGGTTAACACATAATACTCTCCACCGTGTACATCAATCAATGTTTATTTCAGCTTTTGCATCAACATATTTCCAGTTCTTTTTTGCCAAGTAGTTTTTGTTACACTAGTATAACATCCATAAGAACAAAAAGTGAAGGTAGAATCCATTTAAATCAGAGAAACGTTGCTGCCAGAAAACCAGAGAAATCTGTTGCCAGATACCACAGAATAAAGAACTACAGAGTTCTAATAATTTGGACAGAGCCAGAATACCAGATACAGTACCAGCAGAAACAGGTACAACATATACAGAGGAATACTTTAACGTTGTCGTCAACTTTTGTCATATTCTTTTCTTTTTTTTGATTTAGCTTTCACCCACGATTGAACTGTACAGTTAATATAAAAAACAAAAACATACTAACAAAACACCCTGTCAGCAGAATTCATCATCATTATTATTATTATTAATAAATTTTTTTTTTTTTTGGTTTTGTTTTTATGTGTTTTCCTCAATTGACAGAACTGCACAGAACACAAATGCCAGTGAGAGTACAGAGATAGAAGAGAAATGAATCCATGGTTTTGTTATGTTGACGTCATCTCATTCAAATAGGTCAAGTACAGATGTTTTAAAATCCTTAAAGTGTTGTTCCTGGGCGTCAGGTGACACTTGCAGGAGTTTAAACCTATGGGCTTGAAGGCAATTTAACACAAGGAATTGCTTTTAGGAAACAGGAAGTAGGCACACAGAAGATTTACTCGTCTTTTTTTCTCTTTTTTTGCTTTAAGTTCATGTGCCAGAGAACGTGTCATGTGACCGGGGAGAGTGGATTACGTGGGTCAATGCTTGTGTGCAAAAAGGCCTGATGTGTGAGATCAAAATAATCACCTGTTTGTTGTTTGACTTTTCAGATCAATTCAAAATACAGACAAATATACAAGTACAAAATACCCCCTTCAGTTGATGCTGTAGCCTCAGGTCAGGCGGCCAACGCCGACGTGTGTAGTACAGCACAATCACAACATGATACACAACCATGTGTCGTGAGAGAATTTCTCGTTTCAAACATACAAAAAGCCCAAAGTTAATAGGCAAATATAGGACCGCGACAACAGGAACATACTTATCAAGAACAATATTGAATTTAAAAAAAGAGAAACATTTTTACCTTTGCTTTAAATTTAAGTGTTTCACACGTACAAAGTTTCTTCATAGTCTCAACAATCTGAACATCACGGGGAAATAAAATAGGGTTTTTTTCTCCTGAAACTTGTTCCCAAAAACAGCTTCAGCGACTTCCTTCCCTGTCACAAAGACAGGAACATCCACGAACAGCATCTTATCATGTGACGAAAAGAAGGACCAATCGCTATCAACACTGAAAATGTACAAACTTATTTTAAAACAACTACAGGGGGAGAGAGAGAGAGTGAGAGAGAGAGGTTGAGGAGGAGTCTGTTTGATTGCTTCACTTGTACGTCTGTGGTATTCCCTCTGTCTCTCTCTGCCACAAATACAAAAACTACTCCATTTTTACGTCTGACAAAGGCAGGTACATACGTACTTGAACTGTAAACGAGAAACAACCAATAAGAGAAGTCAAATATATGTGTATATTGCAAAAGAAAGTGGTTGAGTCACTGATTCACGTCCCTTCTCTTCACTGAGCTGAAAACACAGGAATTCTCAGCAGTCGCTCACTCTGCGCTCACAACACATCCATTCACCCTTCATTTATGGCACATGTATAGCATTGAGATATATTTATATATATATATATATATGTGTGTGTGTGTTATATTTTATGATATAATAAACGTTCATCCGACTCTGTCGTCCCAGCGTACCCACCACATTAATGTGATCTCTGCTTTTTATACAACTGCGGTTGGGAAGCTAATTGCTTATAATGATTTGTTTTGTAGCAGCAGCCAAATAAATAAAAAAATAAAAAAATAAATTTCAGTTTGATACGCATGTGCCAAATGAAGTGTCAGTAATATATATTTGTCGGTAAAGAATTGACTTTTAACACTATTACAGAGTGAAGAGAGAAAGCTAACGATGTGCATTAATATTCTGTCAAGTAGAATTTGATGAATTAAAAATTATAAAGAAATTATTTTTAAAAAAGGAATGAAATAAGACTTTTGGCTTCATAGCAATGCAGGTAAATATTATATATATATATTTATATATATATATATATCATCAGTATTTCAAAAATATAAAGTTTTTATAGTTTCTGTTGTTGGCTTACATCAATAAATAAAACATTTTTGTGTCTTTGTTAAAGTAGCATGCTGCGGTTTAATATGGCAGTTTATTTGTTTTAAATATTCATCCATGTGTGTATCATGCAGTTGTCGTCGGTATCTTAAGGTCTGAAACCATATCTACACAGTGAGGTCCAGAAAATCCTGTCACGCACGCGCACACACACACACACACGCGCACACACACACACACACAC